CAGTCTGGCCGGACCCCACCCAGGCACGAATTCATGCACTGGGCCTCTAATACATACATACATATTGTACATACATATCCTCCTATCTAATAAAAGAGTAACATGCAAATTTTGACTCCGATACACCCACAAGCCACACCCACCAACCAATCAGAATGGATATGCAAATTAACCCAACCAAGACAGCTGCAGCCACAGAGAAAGCAGGAGGGAGGTTTGGGTTTCCCACGTGATGGAGCAAGCCAAGCTTTCCCCACACCCAGGCCAGCCCAGGCCTCCACTTAAGGTTACAGTTTCAATTGTAGAAGATAAATAAACCCCAGATTCCAGGGCCTCCACTGGGTCACCACGGGGCGTGGCCAGCCTGCAAACCACTACAGGCCCCTCTCTCAGGCTGCTACCTCACGCCCCAAGGGAACCCCACCCTGATCTGGGACACCCTTCAGGCCAAACCAGCTAGTCCCCACCCATGAACCAGGCCTCTATTCTATCTAATAAAAGAATAATATGCAGATTGACCATCACTTCAACACACAAGATGGCTGCCCCCCTATGGACACAAGATGGCAGCCACAAGACAGTCGCCACAAGACGGCCAGCAGGGGAGGGTAGTTGGGAGGGCCCAGGCCTGCAAGGGAGGACAGTTGGGGACAAACAGGCTGGCAGGCAAAAGTGGTTAGGGGCAATCAGAAAAGCAGGCAGGTGAGCAGTTGGGAGCCAGCAGTCCTGGATTGTGATAGGGATGTCTGACTGCCCAGTGGGATAGGGCCTAAATGGGCAGTCAGACATCCTTCGAGGAGTCCCAGATTGGAGAGGCTGCAGGCTGGGCTGAGACACACTCCACCCCCCACTCCAGCCTTATACACTGAAAATCCTAAAGAATGTACAAGAAGCCCTAGCCAGTTTTGTTCAGTGGTTAGAGCATCAGCCCATGGAATGAAGGGTCATGGGTTTGATTTTGGTCAAGGGCACATACCTCAGTTGGCAAGTTCAATCTCTGACCTGGTCGGGGTGTGTGCAGGAGGCAACCAGATAATGTGTCTCTCACACAACGATGCTTCTCTTTGTTTCTCCCCCTCCCTTCCACTTTCTCTAAAAATCAATGGAAAAAAAAAACCCTTGGATGAGGATTAACAACAAAAATTTGCAAGAAAACTGTTAGAATTAATAAACAGTCAGGCTGCGTGATACAAGATCAACATGCAAAAATCAGCTTGAGTATCTATACACTAACAATGCAAAAATGAAGAAAACATTTACACTTAAAATCACATCAAAAAGAAAAAATAATAAAAATCATATGGCATACTAAAGAGCCTCAAATAGCCAAAACAGTCTTGAAAAAGAATAAGTTTGGAGGTCTTACACTTTCTAATATCAAAATTTATTTCAAAAGATAGAGTAAACCCAAACAGTGTGTACTGGCATACTATAGACAGACACATAGACCAATGGAATAGAACAGAGAGCCTAGAAATAAAACCTTACATATATAATCAAATGACTTTTGACAAGAGTGCCAAGACCATTCAACAGGAAAATTTGTCTTTTTTCAACAAATAGTGTTAGGACAACGAAAAAATAAAGTTTAAAGCCTTACCTTAACACTGTAATTGCTTACTGTGCTCACGGATTGGTAGACTTAATATTAAGATGGCAATAAATCCCAAAGCCAACACAGATTTAATACATTAATATAAAAATCCTAAATGATTGCCGAAACCAGTTTGGCTCAGTGGATAGAGTGTCAGCCTGCGGACTGAAGGGTCCCAGGTTCAATTCCGGTCAAGGGCATATACTTTGGTTGTGGGCACATCCCCAGTAGAGGGCGTGCAAGAGACAGCTGATCAATGACTCTCTCATATCAATATTTCTATCTCTCTCTCTCTCTCTCTCTCTCTCTCTCTCTCTCTCTCCCTTTCTCTCTGTAAAAAATCAATAAAATATATTTAAAAAAAAAACTGGAGGAAAAAAAAATCCTAATGATCTTTTCAGCAGAAATTGAAAAGTTGATCTTAATATTCACATGGAGATACAAGGGATTTAAATAGCCAAAACAGTGTTGGAAAAGAACGAAGTTAGAGGAGTCACCTTCTCAGTTCTTTCCACAAAGATAGAGTAATCAAAATGGTGTAGTAATGGCATACAAATAGAAATACAGATAAAAAGAATAGACTGAAAGCCTAGAAATAAACCCTTAATTATATGGTCAATTGAGTTTTGACAATGAAACCAGACCACTCAAGGGAAAAAAAATAGTTTTTTCAATAACTGGTGCTGAGACAATTGAATACCCATGTGGAAAATAATGAAGTTTTGACTTTTACCTCATATTATATACAAAAATTAACTCAATATATATCCAAGATGCAAATGAAAGGGCTAAAAGTATAAAAAAATTTAAAATAAAAGGACAAATCTTTATGACTTTGGACTTAGCAATGGTTTCTTAGATATGAAACCAAACGCACAAGCAACAAAAGATAGGGATACTGTGCTATTCATCAAACTGTAAACTGTTGTGGCCTAGCCAACATGGCTCAGTGGTTGGCCATTGACCTACAAAGCAGGAGTTCACATTTTGACTCCTGGTCAGTGCACATGCCAGGTTGCGGGCTTATCCCTAATAGAGGTGTGCAGGAGGAAGCCAAACAATGATTCTCTCTTCCTCTCCCTTCCTCTCTGAATTATATATATGTGTGTGTGTGTGTGTGTGTGTGTGTATCTATATAAAATAAAAAACAAAAAACCCACATTGTGAATGTACTTAGTGCCACTAAACTGTGCACTTTAAAATCATTAAAATGATAAACTTTATTTTTTAAAATATATTTTTATTGATTTCAGAGAGGAAGGGAAAGGAAGAGAAAGAAACATTAATGATGAGAGAGAATTACTGATTAACTGCCTCCTGGGCGTCCCTACTGGGGATCGAGCCCGCAATTGGATGTGTCCTTGACCAGAATCAAACCCTCAACTCTGCTAGGGCAAAATTATAAACTTTATGTTATGTGTATGTATTTTACCATACAAAAATCCCTCCTTAGAACCTTTTCCCTATCTTTTCTATGGAACAAAAAGCCTTAATCTGTGCCATTTCTAATTTTTTTTTTTACTTAAAAAAATTCATTTTGTACTAATTTATATATGTAATCACTATCATTTAGTACTTACCAAATCTCAATTATAATATTTACGGTAAACTGTCTGGACGTCTTGTGCCTTCTTTTGTCTAGACTAGCAAACTCTAAATTAATTATGCAGTCTTAAAGGAAAAAAACACACATGTATTTTAATCTTTACCCAAGGGTATTTTTAAAAACTGATAGAGAGCATCAATTTGTCTTCCCATCACTCACATTTCTTCATTTATTTTTAAAAGTCATGTTGTAGCTTACCTCTCTCTGGTTTCCATAATTTTCTTTCTCTATATTTCCTTTAAAAAATCTTATTTTTTATTTTGTGTGTGTGTGTGAGAGAAACATTGATGTACGAGAGGAACATCAATAGGTTGCCTCCCTTAAGTGCCCTAACTGAAGAACTAATTGGCAACTTAGGTATATGCCCTGATGGGAAATTGAACCCACAACCTTTTTGGTGTATGGGATGACACTCAACTAACTGGCCAGGCAATATTTTTGAGCATAAATTACCAATATTTGCAGTGTGGAGCTAAATTAAATTTAAGTTGTTTATACAGAAAATGAAATAATTAGAAAATAATAATACAGTAAACTTTCACGTACTCATAACTGTAAACCTACTTTTGCCTCACCCTGTATTTATAAATTATTATTGTACTCATCTATGCATATAAAAGCCTAAGTGACCAAATGACCACCAGGAGGCAGACACTCAATGCAGGAGCTGCTCCCTGATCATCAGTGTGCTTCCACAGCCAATCTCCAGTGGCCAGCCAACTTCCCATGGTTCCTCCCTACCAGCCAGGCAGCTCTGATCGGCCCTGGTTGCCAGCAGGCCAAGGGATTCCACCTGTGCACGAATTCATGCACTGGGCCTCTAGTATAATATAAACATATATAAAATGTAAACTTTAAAAGTCTGAGAAAAAATTAATCTTTTCTTTCTATACTACAAAGAACCATTTTGCATCACTTCTCTGGGCACACTAAATTTTATTCTTGGGTTAAAGTACATGTTGACCCTTTTTTGGATGTCTTTGCTGAACAATAGAGTAAGGTCATATTAGCCTTTTAGGCATTATTACTGAAACTACTGTAAGGATGCTGCTGAGGACTCTATTACACTGAGGTTCCTTCTTTATGAGAACAGATAAGTCAATTTCTTTTAGGTTTTTAGTACCAGAAGTATGTAGTGCTTTTGAAAATTCAGTTTGTTTTTATATTGACTTGTGATTGATCACAAAATTCTAGCAATACTAACTGGTAGAAAACAAAGCAAAACTTGTGACTCTCAACCATATCTACAAGGTACATTTTATCTCTCTCTAGGATTAACTTGTCTTCCCATAACTCACAAATCTTCATTTATTTATAAAAGTCATGTTGTAGCTCACCCCTCTTTGGCTTCCATAATTTTCTTTCATTCTAATTCTTTATTTCCTTTTAAAAAATCATTGTGTGTGTGTGTGTGTGTGTGTGTTTAAAAGCAACTCAAAATGTCTTGAAAGATAGGGAGAAGTAAATCAACAAAAAACAAATTAAAAAACCTATGCAATATTGTTCAGAATGGAGGTCATTCTATACTAAAAGCTCACCGGTGCCAGGGATATACTTTGTAGATTCTGAAGCTATTAGCAGCAAACCCCTTCTTCCAAAGGATAATTTGTAAATAAGTGTTGATGAAAAGAATGACAACTCACAATAGCACTGTACTACACTTCTCACACTTTTCCAGTTGGTAAGGAATATTATAGTGAGGAAAGGGCAAATGGCTTTTTCCACCTGTACGCAAAGCTTAACTAAAAAGTCCATAAAAAAAGGCAGTCACATTGCCAGATGCAATTTGTAGCCATGTACCTGGATGTGTTTCCTTCTGGTGTGTTCAGAAGTCATTTGGGGATAACTCAATGCTTTCTTCTTGTTCTTGCTCCGCTTCTCAGTGTATCTCCTCTGATGGTCGGTGATGCTGCTGTATAACTTAACTCTCCTGGGTGACAAACAAACTCTTTCATGGCCAAAAGCCTGGATCAATCGGGCAGTGTCAATGGTGGAAAGAGAGCTGCTCCTTTCATGCAAAGTCACTTCTTTATCTGTTTGGGTCAATATATCTGATTCCACAGGAGAAGTTGTGGTGGAAAGGATGTTGGTGGGAGTATCTGTGAGCAGCTCACTCTCCTCTGAGGGTCTAGAATCTGAAGAAGTATTGTTTATGTAACAAAAATTTGGCTGTTTTCTCAGAATATATTTATCAAATTTAACCTGTTCAATTTTAATCTGATTGGACTTTCCAGCTTGATGAGTAGAAAGCACCTTGTTTTTAAGATCTCCTATGTTTTTATGGCATTTCTCTAAACTTTTATACCGCTTCTTTTTCTGAAGCTTGTTTCTCTGTTGCTGTCTACCATTCCATTCCTTAGTATCTCGCTGCCCTCTGCTATCATCCTGTGTACTTTCTGAGGGCCAAAGAGAATGTGTGATAGGATTCTGAAGAAGTTTAGCCAAACGATCAAGTCGCTCCACCAAGGATAGTTCTTTTCTACCCCTGCACTCGAGAGATTTCTGTTGCTTCTGTCGTTCCTGATACTTGTTCCAGAGTTCATTCAAACTTGTAATGTGCTGAGTCGTGGGCTCTGGAGAGACCTTACGATTCTTTTTTTGATCATTAATCTGTTTGTCATATTTTGTATAATCTCCAGTCTGACTTTTAGTAGGATGTTTCATTTCTTTGTTTCCCAAGTTTACATTGATACGGAGGCTCTCTATTCTAGTACATTCTGTCTTTTCTTTATTTTGAGGAAAACAAATATGGTGTTTGTCTGGATGATGCTGGAAGAAATCTTTCCAAGAATGCCCCATGAAAACACTTCTCCCTAAGGAGTCATGGCAAATATCTTTATCATTTGGTAGGTGCACTGGATGATGAAAGTAAAACTTGGCTGACCTGAACACAGAATGGGTAGTATTTTCAAATTCCGAACTGGACTCTGAAAAGGAGAAAAAAAAGATTTTGAAGGACTTTCAAAATATTTTCATTGCCTTTAGAAATAGTATTCACACTTAATTCTTTAGAAACAGAAGAAAAAGGAAAGAACAGTTTATATAGTTTCAGAAAATTCACTGCCTGAACAAAGGATTTATACCTTGTGCCTAGTGGCTAGATCAGCATGGTAAACATTTAAGAGACGCAGGGTCAGCCAAAACCGGTTTGGCTCAATGGATAGAACGTCGGTCTGCAGACTGAAAGGTCCCAGGTTCGATTCCGGTCAAGGGCATGTACCTTGGTTGCGGGCATATCCCCAGTAGGGGTGTGCAAGAGGCAGCTGAACGATGATTCTCTCTCATCGGTGTTTCTAACTCTTTATCCCTCTCTTTTCCTCTTTGTAAAAAATCAATAAAATATATTAAAAAGAAAAAAAAAGAGACACGCAGGGTCAGACAAACTGGCTGGGTGAAAGGAGCTTTAGTTCTTGGGACTATAACAGCAGCTGCTTTGTACTAACTGCTTGCTCTGCGTGGGGTATTAGTATAATGCTCTCTCTCTCTATTTTTTCCCTTTTTATTCAATCATGTTGATAAAATTGAGATATGTCTTACAAATCCCTCTTCAGCTAAGAATCCTGAGAATTCATTTTCATTATCAGAAATTAAATGTGTGGCATAAAAAAGGAAAAACTCTCTTTAAAAAAAAATTAATTTCTTGCCGGGACCGGTTTGGCTCAATGGATAGAGCGTCGGCTTGGAGACTGGAGGGTCCCGGGTTCGATTCCGGTCAGGGGCATGTACCTTGGTTGCGGGCATATCCCCAGTAGGGGGTGTGCAAGAGGCAGCTGATCGATGACTCTCTCTCATCGATGTTTCTAACTCTCTATCTCTCTCCCTTCCTCTCTGTAAAAAATCAATAAAATATATTTAAAAAAAAAAAAAAAATTAATTTCTTTATTGATTAAGGTATCCCATATTTGTCTTCAACCCCCCATTCCAATTCCCCACTCTCCTATTGTCTTTGACCACTGGTTAGGCTCATATGTATGCACATAAATCCTTTGGTTGATCTCTCCCTTTTATCCCCATCCTCCCTTTGAGGTCCAACAGTCTGACCCATGGCTCCTTATCTTTGGTCTGTTCTTGTTCATCAGTCTATGTTGTTCACCATTTCCCCTAGATGAGTGAGATCATGTCCTACTGGCAATATACTTTTAAGAATAAAAAATGAGAGAAGCAATAATTGTTATGCTGAAAGGCATATGAGTTAGTCTGTAGTGAGCTTCTTTCTGGACCACCAGTTCTTTTGAGACCCAATTTCAATATCAAACAGTTCCTTATGTGTACATGTCAGCAATGATATTTCAGTTCTGGATGGTGGTCAAATAGTGGTAATGCAGGTCCAACCCTCTCTGGTTTGGTCCTGGGAAGAAAAACTCTTTACATGTTCTAGAGCCTCTTGAAATTTCTTTCTACGAGTCATCTTCACATTTTTCCCTCCAATTTTGTTTACTATGGTAAAATATACCTAATACAAACTTTACCAACCTCCAGATTCACTTTTTGACAGTCATTCTATGTCAAAATGTACTTTTTTAGATGTAATAATATCTAACAATCATAACCCACAAATGTAAATAGTAATATAGGAACCATATATTTTTGGTGTTCCAAGTTATAAGTAGAAACGAAGAAATATTCATGCATTCAACAAAGTAAAACTTGTAACCACAGGATCCTTTTCACCTACACCATAGATTACTGACAACTAAGGTTTTTATTAAATACTCATAATTCCTAAGGCAATTTCCCTAGAACACATTAAGACACATGCTTTTATGTCTAAGTATAAAAAGACAATCTGCCTTGGCTAGGTAGCTAAGTTGGTCAGAGCATCATCCCAATATACCAAGGTTGTGGGTTGATCCCTGTTCAGGGCACATAGAAGAATCAACCAATGAGTGCATAAATAAGTGAGACAACAGCCCTAGCTGGTTTGGTTCAGTGGACAGAATATCAGCCTGTCCAGGTTCGATTCTGGTCAAGGGCATATGCCCGGGTTGTGGGTTCGATCCCCAGTGTGGGGCCTGCAGGAGGCAGTCGATCAATGATTCTCTCTCATCAATTATGTTTCTATCTCTTTCTCTCTCTCCCTTCCTCTCTGAAGTCAATGAAAAAAATTTTTTTAAAGAACAACAAAAAAATGAGACAAGTCAATGTTTTTCTCTCTCATTTCTTCTCTCTAAAATTAATTTTTTAAAAATAGCCGAGTAGGAGGGGAAAATAGGAGATATCTGTAATACTATCAATAATGAAAAAAAAAAATATATATATATATAAAAAAGGAAATCCTGACAACACATGCTCAATGTAAATGGACCTTGAAGACATTGTGCTGAGAGAAATAGGCCAGACACAAAAGAATAACATTGCATGATTCCACTTATATGAAGTAGATAGAAGAGGCAAATTCACTGGAACAGAGAGGAGAATGGCTAGGGGCCAAAGGAAGAAGGTAGGGAAAGTTAGTGTTTGATGGGGATAGAATTTCAGTTTGAGAAGATGAAGTAATTCTGGAGACGGATGGAGGTGATGGTTGTACAACTATGCTAATGTACTTAATGTCACTAAACTGTACACTACAAAATAGTTAAACCTGTAAATTTTGTTATGTATATTTTACCACAATTAAAAAAAAAAAAAGTAACAAGTTAAAAAAAAAAAAAGAAATAACCCAGCCAGTATGGCTTGGTAGTTGAATGTTGACCTATGAACCAGGAAGTTACGATTCCATTCCCGGTCGGGGTATTCGATAAGACACAATATCCATTTATGATCAAACCCTCAATAAAACGAGTTCAGAAAGAAAAGTACCTTAACATAATAAATACCACATATCACAAACCCTCAGCCAATATCACACTCAATGGTGAAAAACAGAAAGCTTTCCTTTAAAATCAGGAACAAGAAAAGAATGCCCACACTGTATTCAACATAGTTCTGGAAGTCATATTCAGAGCAATCAAGCAAGAGAATAAACTTAAAAGGATAGAAGTAATAACAAAATATGCTCCGTAACAGAATGCAATTAGAAATCAATAGCAGAATAAAATTTGGAAAACTCAAATATGTGGAAATTAATAAAACATTCCTAAATAACCTATGAGTTAAAGAAGAAATCAAAAGAGAAACCAGAAAATACTTTGTAATAAATGGCAATAAACTCATTAGAAGCACATAAAGCTAAAAGGGAAATTTATAGTTGAACATGCCTGTATCAAGAAAGAAGAAAGATCAAGTAAAGAAACCTAAACTTTATCTTAAGACACTAGGAAAAGAATAAATTAAAACTAAAGCAAACAGAAGGAAAGCAATCATAAAAATTAAGGTGGAAATTCATGAAGTCGTGAATTTTAAAAAGAGAAAAATAATAGAAAACAAAGGCTGGTTCTCTTTAAAAAAAAATTTTTTTTTTTAAATCAACAAACTTTTAGTTAGACTGACCAAGAAAAAAATGAGAAGACTTATATCCAAAATGAAAGAGAGACCATTATTACTAATAAATAAGCCTTATTTATTTACTGCAATAAAAAGGATTATAAAGGAATACTATGAACTAAATTAGATAATTTAGATATAATGAACACATCCCATTCCTAGAAAGCCACAAACTAATGAAATTGACTCAAGAAGTAGACACAATCTGAAAAGACCTAAAGCAAGTGAAGAATTTGAATTAGTAATAAAATTACCTACAAAGAAAAGTCCAGGCGCAGATGGTTTTACCCCTGAATTCTACTAAACATTTAAAGAATATTAATTTTTCAAATTCATTTTATGAGGCCAGTGCTACCCTGATAATAAAACCCAACAAAGACATCACCAGAAAACTACAAGTCAACAGCTCTTACAAATATAAACACAAAAATCCTCATCAAAATATTAGCAAATGAAATCCAGCAACATATAAAAAGAATTATACAGCATGACCAAGTGGGATTTACCCCATGAATGCAAGTTTGGCTTAACACAATATGATATACACATGATGTATTATAGAATTGTACTTCTGAAACCTATATAATTTTATTAACCAAAGTCACCCCAAAACATTCAAATTAAAGATAAAAAAAAAAACACCCTCATTTGATAATCTGAGACATAGAAAAAGCATTTGACAAAATCTAATCCCTTTCTTTGATAAGAACACTCAACAAACTAAAAATAGAGGTAACTTCCTCAATCTGATAAAGGGCTTCCATGAAAAACACACACTAAAATCATACTCACTTATGAAAGACAGAATGTCTGCTTCCTAGACAAGAATATATAAAAATATATGCTTTTGCCACTTCTATTTAACATTGTACTTGAGGTGTTAGCCACAGCAATTAGGCAGGCGAGAGGAGAAGAAGGCATGTGGATTACAAAGAAAGAAGTAAAACTATATTCACAGATATTAAGATCTTGTATCTAGAAAATTCTAAGAATACATAAAAAAATCTATTAGAACTAATAAATGAGTTCAGCATGATTGCAGGATAAAAATATTTTAAAAGTTAACTGCATTATCATACATTGCAGTTAAACTAAAAACAAACCACCATTTAATTCACAATAGCATAAAAATAAAATATTTAGGAATAGATATAACAAAAGAAATGTAAAACTTCCACTTTGAAAACTACAAAACACTGTGAAAAAAAATTAAAGAAGATCTAAATGAATGGAAAACATCCCATGTTCATGGACTGGAAGATAATATTGTTAAGAAGGCAATATCGCCGGTACCGGTTTGGCTCAATGGATAGAGCATCGGCTTGGGGACTGAAGGGTCCCGGTCAAGGGCATGTACCTTGGTTGCGGGCATGTCCCCAGTAGGGGGTGTGCAAGAGGTAGCTTATCATCTCTCATCAATGTTTCTAACTATCTCTCTCCCTTTCTCTCTGTATAAAATCAATAAAATATATTAAAAAAAAAAAAAAAAGAAGGCAATATCCCC